GCAAACAGACAGAGATGTACAATTGAGTCGAGTGTGGTAGTAAGTAAGTGCGTGACTCGTTCGTTGAGAATTATAGTGTGTGTTTAAGTGTGGAAATTAAGTGTATTGCAAAGTTGTATTGAGAAAGAATAAACTATTTTTATTTAAGAAAGGACTTGTATCGCTAAAGTTTCATCCGAAAAAAATTATACGGGAAATTAACAAACGACCAGAGACGTAACAAAATGGTGTCAAAAGTGGGAAAGAAAAGGAAATGGAAACGAGAGGTGGCAAATCAAACTACAACTTAGCAGATTTGATGGCAGCAATATAAGAACAGCAAAAGAAACAAGAAGAGAGACAACAGCAGTTGCAAGAAAACCTGCAACAGTGACAACTCGAGCAGCAAAATAAACAAAAGAGATTACAGCAGTTGTTGGAGAAAAAAGAAAAGAAACAGGTAGAAAGAGAAAATAAACAAGAAGAGAGATTACAACAGTTGTTGGAAGAAAAAGAAAAGAAACAACAAGAGAGATTACAGCAGTGGCAAGATAACTTGCAACAGTGGCAGCTCGAACCGCAAAATAAACAAGAGAGTTTACAGCAGTGGTTGGAGGAGAAAGAAAATAAACAAGAAGAGAGACTACAGAAGTGGTTCGAGGAGAAAGAAAATAAAAAAAGAAGAGAGACTACAGAAGTGGTTCGAGGAGAAAGAAAATAAAAAAAGAAGAGAGACTACAGCAGTGGTTGGAGGAGAAAGAAAATGAACAAGAAGAGAGACTACAACAGTGGATGGCGGAGAAAGAAAATAAACAAGAAGAAGGTCTCCAACAATTGAGAGAAAGCCAGAGTACACAAATGGAAAACATTAGTAAATTTCAAAGCGAATTAAATGCATTAAAGGGTGATTTATTGTCTTTCACACAAGGAGGATACATTAACCATCGACTTATTCAGCCCCAGACAACGGCAAGCCCCTTCCAGCACCCGCAGCTAAACCCTAATGCAGACATCTTCAGTCCTGTTAGAAGTCACATCCCAGGTATGAATGTCAGCAATAGGGGTGATCTAGTACGAAAGAAGCCACAGGAATTTGATGGGAAGGCACCATGGGAAGTATATAGAGCACAAATTGAGCTACTGGCAGAAATGAATGGCTGGACAAAGGAGCAGAAAGCAGTATATCTGGCAACGAGCTTGAAGGGACAACCACTGAAAATACTTGGACAGTTGCCAGCAGATGACAGGCACAACTATATAGCACTGGTAGCTGCTCTAAAAATCAGGTATGGAACCCAAAATCAGTCCGAAGTCTACAGGGCTAGGTTTAGGACGAGAGTCCCTGCTAAAGGGGAGAGCCTGCAAGAGCTGGCACGGGATTTGGGAAGAATGGCACACAAGGCCTACCCAACTGCACCACCCGATCTCCTCAAGTTGTTGCTGAGGGATAAGTTTGTAGATGCCTTGGACAGTCCACAACTGTAGATACAAGTAAAGCACGCACACCTCTCTAGTATGCAGGATGCAATGGCCAGAGCTCTTGAATTTGAATCCTATGTTAAGTCCAGCACAGAGGTATCAAGGTTGGTACAGTCATCAGGATTCAAGGCCAGAAAAGGTCAGCTTTCAGAGAGGTTTGAGGGACTTTGCTGGCACTGTAACAATCCTCGACACAAGAAAGCTCAATGCTGCAAACTTCAACACATGGAAGATGCCACGGTAGGAAAGGCTGCTATCCAAAAAGGTTATTGGAACTGTGCAGAGCAAGGACATATGAGGAGCCAGTATAAGAAGAATACTACCAATAAGTCAGCTTCGGGAAACCAGTAGTGGTTGGTACTGAGGAACGCCCACCAACCCCCATCGTGAAAGTCCCAACAGCTAAGTGTAAAATGGAAGCACACATAATGTCTACATGACAGGGAAGCTGGATGGCCAGAGGTACGACTTTGTCATAGATTCTGCATCTCAGCAACCCCTTGTGAGTATCAAGGTGCTGGATCACAAAGGAGTACCAAAAGCTGTACAGAAGTTCTGTGGTGTGACAGGACATTTTGCAAGGTTGTGGGGACCA